CTGTAAAATTGTTATGGGCTAGGGCTCCTAATGATACCACTTCGATACCACTTCGATATCAGTTCAATATTTAAATTTACTATAAAAACATATAAGTAGGTCACAACCTATATATTAAATTTACTATAAATCGGTATCAGTTCGATACCAGTTCAGTACTTTTTCAGAGCCCTACCATGGACTTTGTTTTTATAAGTTCATGTTCTTTTCTAGTGCTTCTCTTTTAAATTACCTAATTGAATTAATATGTTTCTTATTATAAAGTTTGTCATTTCAGGAGGGGATGTAGGCTTGTAACAGAAGTTAGATCAGAAACCTTTTCTTATGCAATCTTCTTTGCTTCAATCTGTTTTTAGCCCATGATTGTTGGGAAGACCAGAGTCAATATTCTTTTTTTTTTCATTTCCATATATTAATAGATAATATAGAATTTTGTTTTTTGATTTTTTCAAATATTCTAGAACATATGAGAGTTGGTATTGAAATTCCATTCAAATTAACAATATTTAAATATTTTTTATATTCTTTTGCAGTAAATATATAAGAAAAATTCTTATTATATTTATTTTTATTAGCAAAATAACAAGCTAATATCATTAACAAAATAAATATAATAATATGTATCAATTATTAACACTTAGAATACCTATCGATGATAATTCCCCCTGCCAATTATTATTGATTAAGATAAAAATCGATATGTATCAGAATTTATTGTTTTTAATTTACAATTTAAAAAAATCAATTCATATCGAGTTTTATTAATTTGTTTTAAAATTATTATTTCAATTTATAATGAATATTTATAGTTTTAATTTATATCATAATTCTTGTATTATCTGTAATAATTAAAATTAAACAATTTGTTTTTATTAAAACAAATTAATTTGATTTTGCATTTTACAAATTATTACATTTATTTCTAATTTAATCTCTATTATCTTCACTAACACCATATAACACATCTTGTTCTTGTGAAAGTATCATTGAATTGTCTTCCTGCATTCTATTTGATTCAGTTTCTTCTTGTTCTTGTTTTAATGTTTCTTGCGATTGCTCCCAATTTAATCCACTTTCCAACTCATTATTTAAAATTTCTTCAACAAAATTTAGGGAGGGACCACCATTATTAAAATCTCTCTATTTAATAAATATATTAAATTATAATAAAAAAAAATCATTATATTTTAATCAATTACTTATAAGAAAATACTCTATATGACATTTCATTTGCTTTTTAAAACAAATGATACTCTTAAATCAAGAATTCAAAAAAATATTGCATACAGCAAGAGTAAATGCACAATGTTTATTGCTTAAAGTGGGAACTGATGTTTTGAAAATATTGTCCTTGCAATTGAAGTTATCCAATATATTTCATTACTATTCAATTAAAAGAGTAAATGATAATATTCAGACACTTCTATAGACTTTTTTAAAGTCATGATAGCAATTGATGAATCATTGCTTCTTAAAAATAATAATTATTTTAAACCAAAGACTTGCCACATTGCAGTTCTAATGCTTTGTAATGTTGCACCTTAAAAATTTTTCATTTTTGCCAGAGCTTTATTTTAATAAGTTTGAATTAGTTTAAAAATAATTAAAAAATATCAAATTATTTTATTTATACTTACCATGCTACACTATTTATCATAAAATAAATTTGTAAATTAATTAGAGCTTAAATTGGACATATATTTGAAAAGGTTTATCTCAAAATATTCATGCAAGACATTTTTTAAAATATTTTGGTCTGAATAAATATAGCTCAGAAACAATTGTTATAATGTTTAAACATATTTTCTAAATTATTTAAAAATATAAATTAGATAGATTTTACTATAAATTTTATTAATTAAAATAATTATGTCCATAACCTGTGAACTAAGCTTATCATGTTTATCTCTCTTTTTTATTTCAGCTTTTATCTCTCAGATATTATCACTAAATCTTCTTATCAAAAAATATAGTTGCTGTTGTTACAAAAAAAATCATTTATCAACTTGCCACCTATAACATTGCCATTCTTTAAAAAGATATATATATATTAAAATGTAATTAAAAAAAAAAAAATTATAAATTTATCACACTATCAATCGATTCTTTTTCCTGTAATCTTTCTTGATTTTCAAGTAAAGGTAAAGTTTCACAATTTCTATTATGTTGGCAAGATGTAATTTAAGCTGTTTGATATAGAGTTTGTTGCCTTGAGAATTGATACATAAAAGTTTGATATCTTTAGAGCAAAAGGGCTAAAGTTTATTGTCTTGAAAAATATCTGGGCTATCAGAATTCGATTGTTTTCTTGAAGGTTGCCTTGATTGACTTTGTTCTCTTGAAGGCTGCCTTGACCAACTTCATTCTTTAGAAGATTGTCTTGATTGAGATTATTCTCTTGAAGGATATCTCAATCATTGCTGATCTCTAGACTGTTGCCTCAATTGAGGCTAGGGCTTTGAAAAAGTACTGAACTGGTATCGAACTGGTATCGAAATGGTACCAATCTATAGTAAATTTAATATATGGGTTGTAACCTACTCATATGTTTTTATAGTAAATTTAAGTATCGAACTGGTATCGAAGTGGTATTGTTAGGAGCCCTAATTAAGGCTGATTTTTATCAGGTCCATACTGTAACTATTCTTCTGGGTGATATTAGGATTGTATTTGTTTATTTAGGTATTGGCTGAAAGAGGATTGCTATTGACTTCTAAGGGAATACCGATTTCTACTGCTCATTATTGAAAAGATATTTTGTATGCTTGTAATGCTTTTTATTGAATCTGAGCAATCACTATCATCATAAGCATAGATAGGCTGGTAAGAATCAACAATATTTTATTATATATTGATAATAATTCAAGTTTGAGAAATATGAGAGGCATTATAAGAAGCTGAAGTATTTTCATTAAACATTGTATTAAATTGAAATATTCTTATCTAAAATTTATTTTATTTTTATAATTAATAAATGTAATGACATGAAAATTTTTAAAAAATCAATGACCAAACGAAAGTATTTATATTCAATGTAGTCACTTTATTTATTTATATCATAAATTGATTTTAATAATCATATTATCTGCTAACTTATGTAACCATTTTTTTTGTATATAACAATAATTGTGATGCCATAATTTTATAATTTTTGATGAATTGTTAGCAGGGAAAAATGTATGGGTTGCTGGGATCGATGTTTGTCACGTGACATGGTGCAATCCATCGGACTCAGCATCAAAAAGTCTAAATAGTCTAATTGGGGATTTGCAGGATGCAACAGTAGATTAGCATACGAGTCACAGTGGGTATAAATAGAGAGGGTTTAGTTAGTTAAAATAAAAAGTAATTATTAATATTGTATAAACTTGTAATACTTGTAATTGTGTCACTATAATTAATAAACCTACCTTAATTGGTTATTAACCACTGTAGAAATCCTAGAAGCCCATAAAAAATTGTGGTAGAGAATCAGACCAGTAATAAAATAGAAGGAAGTTTATTAACAAGTGTCTCTAATTAGCAAATGATTCAAGCCCTATATACCTATCATTACACGATGACCTAGTTCGGATTAGTGATAGACTCGTTGTATACTGATAATATTTGGTGAAAAACTGAAGTAGATCCAATTAGAAACAATATTCGTTAACCCCCTCCTGATAAAATTGTGCGAACAAGAGTTATGCCAATTTTAGAAAACAGTTCGCATTAATTAAACCCTAATTGAAAAACACATTATTTGCCAAAACAAGACTTTCCCTCCTTTACATCAGTGCAAGACCCATGACAAACTGTGATAGTCGATTAATAATCAACAATGTATGAAACAGAATATGACACAATGGATATGAAATTAGTCTACCCACTTTCTCACAACTAGATGCCTAAAGAAGACCAATGGACGTACATGCAAGCTAAAAACGAAAAGTCAAATCAAAAGAGAATAGAGGAAAAAAGCGAAGTAAAGAAGGCTATGCAGATTTAAAGGTGAAGCAGGAGAGGATCTGCAATTGTAAATAAAACTCTACAACCAAGCTGCCAACTGCAATAACTGAACAGATGATAAAAAACTAAGAAAAGTAGGTGAGTATCTAGAAGAAGTGGCATTAAACTGGTACGATAAGAATAGTAACCGTTTCACTTGGTAGGATGAAAAATATGATTACAAAAACAGTTTTGTGCCAGCATTCATGGAACATTTCATAATGCACAAACAGCAATAGCACTAGTGGCAAAAAGAATTAGAAAACATATAGCAAGATAAGAACAAAAAAGTGATTGAGTATGCTTATAGGTTCGTGAGGCTACTCGATAAAGTATATCCTGAGAGCAACTACCAGAAAGAATCAGTGGAATGGCTGCTTGCGACTGGATTAAGAAAGGACTTGTCATCTATACCCGCCATCACGAACGCAACCGACCCAGTGGAAGCAATCAGAATGGCAATTAAAGCTGAGGCCGATGCTGAAAAAAAAGTAAGCATGATAAAAGAATTAGAGGACTGGGTGCAAAAATTACAAGATCAAATACAAAGAAAGAAGATTGTGCCAAAACCAAAACCAACAAGAGAAGACCGAGGCTATTGGAAGTATAAGAAAGATTATAATGTCAGTAGCTACTGGAAGGGAACTGCTAAGGAGTACCTAGTGAAGGCTCTAATCTCGAATAATGAGATCAAGAAGATATTAACTGACAAGATCAATGATAAGGAACCTGACAGGAACACTTGATGGAATAAAAGTTCGTATAAAAAAGAGAAAACGGATAAGAATGAAGTATGGTTAATATCCTTTAATGATGACGAAGAGGAAGCATTACAAAAAGTGAGTAATAGTTTCGACTCTAATAATAAAGCACAACCGGAGACCCCAGAACCAGTCATGTGGTCATTTCAATTGGAAAAAATGCTAACAGTGACCAAAAAGGATAATGAGGTCAATAAAACTGAGGAGTTGGGTGTAAGTAAACCAGAATATCGATATGGGCCAATAAAAGAAATGATTATGAAAGAAAAAGACGTTGTGGTGATAAAAGAACCATCAACAACACACGAGAACCAAGAAAAGATTAATGAGAAGAAAGAAAAGGGATTAAAAGGGCAATGTGAGCCAGTAAATACAATCACAAGAAAACTAGATACTGTGCAAAGGAAAGAGCTGCCAATATCATATGATGAAGATAGGAAAGTAATAATCAAGAGGAAAATGATGCTTACAATCACATGGAAAATGAGGATGCCAGGAGATAAAACTCCTAGATTCTGTAGCATCCCTGAGTTGTGGCAACAACTAATAGAAGTACTTACACAAGGATTTAGAAGAAAGCTTATGAAAACCCACTCTGATGTCTTTGTTAAATTAGTACTTCACAAAATGATAACAATTTATGGGACAGTATGGACAAAACATCCTGTAAAAGAATTCCTAATCAAGTATAAGAATATTATTACAAGTATCATCCAGAAACCTGAGTGCGACATAGAGCAATGTAATAATGACATTTCAAGCAGTTGCACAACATAGCAAGAGGTGAAAGAGAAATCACAAAACCAATTTGAACAAATAGAAGCAGCATTAGCAGAAAAACAAGATTCTGTTTCAGTAGATCAACTGTCAGAAGTATGTGATAGAGATTGAATAATGAAGAAAATAAAAGCTAATAATGACCTAGGAAAAGAACACATAGCAAGATAAGATCAAGACACTTACGACTGAATAATCTGAGGAATAAGAAGCTTTAAGGCAATGCAACGAGTAGTCGATACCAATAATAATGCACCAACAGAGCAAAAGCTACACAAGGATGGTCCGGATATAAGAGGATGAATCGTGAAAGAAGAAATAATGTCAGTAATTACTTGGGAGATGCATGTACCAGTCAATGAGACATTCAGGCTGTGTAGCATAATAACACCAGGGCAGCAACTAATAAACACACTTGGCTGCAAGTTAAAAAAAAAGCAGATAAAGGTACACTCCAAAATCTTCGCAAAATTAATACGTTGCATGATAATAATAATTTGTGAATGGTTTGAACAGAGGGTTCAGTAAAAGAACTCCACACAAATGTGATCAAGAATATCGTCCTGAAACCTGAACACAAAAAATTGATGTGATATACCTGCAATAGTAATAGTAATATCCCAAACAACAGAACAATAGCATTCATAATCAAGATGAAACAACCATACGTACTGACAACTGTTAGACTCTACAACCCACTTGTGAAATACCAATAGCCAATAATCTCACACCAATGCAAGATCACAAAAAAATTGATGACATTGAGACTAAACCCTATGGGGATAAAGTTGTGAGTAAATGCCATAATCCTGGTCAATAGTAGTGTGTATGTAGTTGCTAACACCATTAGGACTGGACTGATTAAAAGAAATATGGAGTTAAACAGGCCCATGAAGCAACATGCTGTGAATGCACTCCGAGACCCTGAGACATTATATGATGTACTGTGAAACTCCAGTGAAAACAATTGGAACTGCGAAACAGAAACTAACATGATACATGGATTAACATTAATGAAAGCGATGAAGGATAACATAGTCCACAAGGGATTGAATATAGGTGTGCCAGTTTCAGATCAACAATTACAATAAAGATATAGAAGCAAGTAAACAAACAACCCACTTTGGTCATGAGAACCCCAAAACACTACATGATGAAGGATGAGAAGCCGGAAATGCAATATCAAATCAAAATCAGCGAGTATACAATAACAAATTGACTGCACTGCTAATCCAACCAGCATCATCCAACCATCCGATACTTTACCATTACAAATAATGACAAGCAAACATTAGCTAGTGACCAGGATAAATAACCTAAAATCCCAAACAATCCTGAACCGATATTCCGAACCGATGGTGTGAAATGATGATATGCACAGGAGTGTATAAAATAAGCATGAGAAAGTGTTAGCAGGGAAAAATATATGGGTCACTGGAATCGATGTTTGTCACGTGACATGGCATGATCCATTGGACTCAGTATCTAGAAGCTTAAATAGTCTAATTAGAGATTTGCAGGATGCAACAGTAGATCAGCATATTGTTAGTCTGATAAAAGTCACATGGTATAGTCACGTACCGTGACTATCGCGTTGCGTACCCTGGAAATTTAGAATAGTATTAGTAATTAGCATAGGGAATATAGTTATAGAGGCTTATGTAACTTACCCATAGTTTATTTTAGCCCCGATAGTTTAGCCTCATTAATTTATGTATCAATAGTATAGCTGTGGGATTAATAATTAATAAGCAGATGGGTAAATAAATAGCAGCAGTGTAGAAAAAAGAGGGAGACATGAACATGCACAAAGTAAATTAATAAAAAAAGAGATTAAAAGAGAAACTATAGTTATTTTGAGTAGCCATAAAGAGAAAGTAATAATTAACAACTTGTCTTTTTGAGTAAGCACCGTTTTAGGAAGGATAACCGCCACTAGAAGGACATAGCCTGGGATATCAGGAAGGAAACGAGTGCCAGGAAAGAAAAGAAAAGAAGTTAATTAGTACTGCCTGGCTAAATCAATCATACACGCCTTAACTTACCTTTAGTAATATGAACTTTGGACCAGTGAAGTGACTGACTCGCTGTTTTCCAGCCCAACACTATAATAGATTCAATATCTTGCTGTTCTAGAGAAGTTGGATTCTTTTTCAGCCTTAGCTTGATATTTTTTGAATTACAGATGATATTGATACTTTTGATTAGAAAACTGTGTAGTGTTTTGACTCTTTGGTTGAAGTATTCTGACATTTTCAACTCGATTTTCTTGGGCATGTTGATTAAGATATATGATTGATCATTTGCTGCTCCTATCAGGCCAAGGATTCCTAGGAGAATATTGATTGGTTGTGGGTTGTTGAAGTGGAATGCCATACTTGTGTTATGTCCGTATATCTCTAAAAGCTCTTCTTTTACCACTAGATCAAATTGGGAGAATAGATAATCTAGGTTGATGACCTGTTTGATATCTTCTATTATGTTGGGGTTTAAGCAAACCTCTGGTTCCTTGTTTTCTCGAAAGCTGATTTCTACTGTTAAGTTTGTTATTGGAATCATTTTGTGCTGTAGCGTAAGCCAGATCTCTTCTGTGGCATTGGCTAGGCGATACTCATTATTGGTCTTGTATATTTAAAGGGACATTGCTTTCTCTATTGGTATGTTTATTTGCTGTGTGCTGCTGTGACAATAGCACTTTCTGAGGGTTTTGTCAGCCTCCAGTTTGTAATGCCTGCCTTTAATAAGGGATTGTGTGCTATTGCGATTAATTCTTGCTTTGACAAAGCTCAGTTGGTTGTTTTGAATATGGGCCCAGAATCTGGCCCTTGTATTGGGAATGCATGTTGAGGTGCCTTTATATCCAGGTGTAATATTGATATTGGTGAACCAACTGGGAATAGGTCCTTTTGGGGTTGGGCGGAAGTGTGTATTGAACTTATGTTAGGACAGTTTGTTGTTTGTTCTGAATACTAGTAATTCCTCAAGGAACCTTATGTTACTTCTGTATAAGCCAAGGACTTGATGCCTCAGGTACTTGTTTCTAAAGGAGAAGTGCAGCCCTAGGGATTGCTGACCTTTGGTATGATTGAATAGACAGTTGGTCAGGTATACGTTGATTTGATACTTTTTACATGATATTGCTGCTTGTGTAATCCATAATTCTGGAAACACTTCTGGGTAACATAATAGGCAAAGCCAGATAACATGACTGATTTGGAGAGAGTTGATCTCTGTTTTTACAGCTTTTTGCGTCTTTGTGTTGCTTAACTTGGCTACAAGGAGTTTTGCTAGTGTTAGGTCTTGTCTGTCTGAGAAGTTTTTGAGATTGAGGCCAGCTTGTGAGTATATTATTCTGTCTGATATGGTTTTTCCTACTTTTAGTCTTCTTTTAATTAGATTGTTTGCTTTGATCTGAAGATTTTGTACTTGACCTTTGGAGAAGGGGCTTGAAAGAAGAGCATAATCAAGTTTGCTGGGGATAATCCAGTTCAACACTTGTTTTGTTATCAGGCCGTTTCATCTTTGCTTGTGACATGCTTCTATAACCTAATGCATGCTCTTGATACTGGGTTGGCTGGAGGTGTTTTTATTTGGATTTCCTGCAAAAAAATTGTTCTGGTAACGGAGGGGAGTTTTGCTACTGAGAGGATTAACCACTGAGTCCATTACTTTTAAACCTGTGTTTCTTCGGGGGTGTTTGTCAGCTAATATAGTAATGAGTATTGTTTTGTCTGAATTATACTTGATATTGTTCAAGAAAAAAAAGGAGCAGAATGTATCTGTGAATTCTTGTAAATGTTTTAAGGATTGTGCTGTCAGAAGGACATCGTCCATGTATGTGAAAATGTTATACGTAATTGCTTGGTGCTTGGAGTGGCTAGAGATTGCTGAGACCATAGGGTCATAAAAAATAGTCCATAGGAATGGTGACAGAGTTTTCCCTTGGTCTAATCCTTTCATGACTTCCACTTCTCTTGTTTTGCCAAAGTTTGTTGCGACTGAGAGCTTGCGTTTATATAATAGATTGTAAAAGATATTAATAAGTTTGGTTGAAACTTTGATTTTTCTGAAAGCTGCATCGAGACTATTGAGATTGACTGAGTCAAATACCTTTGCTATGTCAAAGAAGGCCATCCACAGTTCATTGTTTAGATTTTTTGCAGTGTTCAAGGTTGATACTGCGATTGTTAGTGGTTCCATTGTGCTTTGGTTGGCAAGCCTAGCGAAACTTGCTTTTGAAAGTATATTATGCTTACTCATAATTTCTGATACTCTAGTATTGATTATTTTTGTGAAGACTTTTCTTGTAGACTCAATTAGAGAGATTGGGCATGTGTCTGCCACTCTTCTTGATCAAATGATTTTCTTTGGTAGGAATACGGTTGTAGAGTTTTTTCAGCCTGCGGGGATGGTTTCTTTATCCAGGACTTGGTTGTATAGTTGAAGCAATTCTTGTTTCAAAACTACTTCGAGGATGCTGATCATTTTGTAAGTTATTCCTGTGTTGCCTGGTTTTGCCTAGGGGTAGGTTCTTAAGTGTATTTGTGAGTTCATCAAGGCTAACTGGGCTTAGGCTACTGCTGAACCATTTCTCATTAATTGAGTCAATTGGATTATACTTTGTGGCCCAGTATGTATCAGAGAGGTTTACGCTTTTGTTAGACAAGACATTCTCAAAGTGAGTAATTATTATACTTTTGATCTCTTCTGGATCATCCGTTAGGGCTCCTTGGTTATTCTGGATAAAGTTAAGATCTAGTGACGGCTTGAGATTACATAAGACTTTTTTGATGAAGCTTTTTAATTTTTTTCAAAATTTGGTATAGTTGGCAGTAATACTTTTGCTAAGTTGTTCGATGTGGAGTTCTTTAATATTATTGAGTCTTTTCCTAATTAGAATATTTCTGATTTGATTGAGTGACTTGATGGAGGTTGGCTCCAATCTGAAAATCTTTTCATGGATTTGTCTTATACGTTTAAGGATTTTTATTAAGTTTGATTTTTTTTTTCTTTAAATTGTTTTTTTGATTAATTTAATTGTATTAAAATGTTGTCCATCTCCATGTTGCAGACTCTTGTTGATTGTTGCTTTGATTAATAGAATATTGTTTCTGGTGGCATTTACAATAGCATTGTTGAATATAGTCCAGGACTGATTTTCTGTTATGGAGATTCTGAGTTCAACTTCCTCTTTGAAATCTTTCCTTTGCTCAGATGTGGCCTGCTTCCAGTCAAAGAGCTTAGTTTGAAAGTCTGCCGACTTTAGCTTATATTCAAACCAGTTAAAGATAACTTGAACCTCCTTGTAGTCTGTATGTATTGATAAGGATTCTATAGTTCTTGCACCAAGGACTATGGAGCTTATATGGCTTGTGCACCAAATTTGGTCTATCCTTGAGGCACTAGTCTGTATAATGTGAATAAATTTATCTTCCCTATTCAGTGTTTTTATAACATTGATCCAGTTGAATAGAAAATTGTAGATTCTTCTTTTATTGGCTAATATTGAGGCATTAATGGCTGGCGTATTTGCTGGATAGAAGTTGAAGTTTCCAGCTAGGATCTGCTGTACAGGATTTTTGAATTTTCTTAAGTGCTTCTATAGAGATTTGATAGCAGTCTTCCTTTCTTCCATTTCATGCGGAAGGTAAATGGCTGTGATGACTAAATCAATTTTTGGCTTGAACTTTAGGTGTACAGAGTACCAATACTTGTTTTCCATGAATGTTGTAAAGATATGGCTGGTGAGGTCTTCTCCGAATATTAAGTATGCTCCGTTCTTAGAGAATATTGATGGCTTGCTTGCAATGATAACCTTACTGTTAAGTCTTTTGGGTAAGGGGTTAAGAGTGAAGATCTTAGTTTCAGAACAACATAATATTGATTTTGCATTT